GTACTTTTTTATTTTTCCGAGTTGTTTTTTTTAATTTTCTTTTCTTGCTGGTTTGGGGAAACACCATAGGATTGGTCAGAAAGGATGTGCAGTCCATACCATGGATCCCATGTTAGGAGCCTGGCAAGGTCTGACTTGCACTGTGGTCATACTTTGCTCCTTTTTTTTTAATGTGTTGAGCAATTTCAGAAGATGACAAAGATTCATTCCTCAAAAAGCTCTGGATGAGAAGGCCCCTTTGTCCTGCTATCAGTGAAATTGATATTTAATCCCATTTTGTTATCCCTTATTCCACTCAAAAGTGGATCCAGTTTTACTGGAGTTTGCCTCCAATTTCTCCTTTTGTGCAGCCTGAGGTTTTCTGATGCTGAAGCAAGCCAAGCCCCCTCTGAGCTCACACATGCACTGAGGAGGCTCCACCAGCTGAAGCTCCCACCATGCAGGGCCACTCAGATTCTGAGCCCATCAGGGCTACAAAGGGTGGGCTGGGGCAAATTCAGCCTCAGACGTGTGAGAAATCTCCCTCTTTGCCTTTTGGAGCCACTCTTGTGGCTGACAGGCATGCAGAGGCAATCAGCACCCTGCCTAATTAGCGAGCATGGAGTGCCCAGGACATGGATTCTGGGTGTTGTTGGAGGGAAGATGGAGCAGTGCTGAGGAGACAAGAGGATCCCTCGGCCCTGTGGAGCTGCCCAAGCTGCTGAGCTCACATTCTGGCTACCAGGGGGCTAAAATTCACTGAGGAGACACACTGTGGGGCAGTGTCCTTGCCAGCCAAGGGACAGGTATTCTGGCCCTTTGACCTTTTTCCTGCTTTGAAATCACTCCAGAAATAACTTATATGCGATTTTTTTTTTTCTTGCTTGCTTCCTTCCACTCACCTTTGTCTGCTGCAATGTCTGAATAAAGTCCAGTTGGTTCACAAATGTCTCTGCAGTGCCTGGCTGTTCACTGCCATTCCCAGTGGGGAAACTGGTCACAGTTTCACACTCAGCACAGCATGGGGAGGAGGGATGGAGTCTGCTAGGGAGGCTGGGGAAGCTGCCACTAATGCCTGATGTGTAGAGAGAGGGTCAGCACACCTTGAGGCTCCCAGAATCTGTTTGAAATGTGTTTTTCTGGTGAGTTTCTTCCCACCAGAAAGTAAAGGAATCCTTCGTTCTTCCTTCTCTGCTCTTTTAACACTGGATTTCTTGGCAGCTTCTAGTTCTGTGGATAGCTATTTGTTCACTGAATTTTCTCACACCAGCTGGGAAGCAAAGTCCATCTGTGAGCTTTAATGTATCTGTGTTTTTTAATAATGCAATACTGTTGATTTTATACAAATATCACTATTTAAGAACTTCAAAGTCCTTGGTGTTCCCCCCACCCTCCAGACTGCACTTCTTGCTGCTGCTGCTGTTAACACTCCCATGTGTTTCAGCCTTGGAGAAATAAATATTTGTTTAGCTGTTCTCCTGCTGTGCCTGCTCAGTGCATTTGTTTAATGATGACTTCAGTTTAGCTTTGCAAAGGGGTTTAGGGAAATAGATTCTCCCAGAAAAGCAAGAGACTCATTTGCAGATAACTTTCCCTGCATTCGTGCCCCCCTCTTGCCATCCCCTTTTTTCCCTGGATTAGGGTTTGATTAAATAAATGTGCATGGGCAAAACTTCAAGATCAGCTGCGGTGAGGAGTCAAAGTTTTCTCTGGTTTTTTTTTGGGTTTTTTTTCCCACTCCATTTATCTTGACCTAAAACAGTGAGTAGAAGGTTAGACTCAGCAAATACCTGCTGCTTTTTCTTGTCATTACCTAAATTTTCTTTAATCTTTCGTTTTCTTTTTCTCCTATAAAATATCAAATCATATTTTGGCTTATAACATTTGCTCTGGAGCCAGGCCCAAGCTGCTATTTCAAAACCTGTATTTGTCATGTTCTACCCCAACCCTCTTGAGTCAAATGAGAGATTTTACCTTTTACTCAAGACACCAAATTGGTCTATGCAATCAGATTTTTTTTCAAAATGAGGACAGTGATAACCTTCAAAATCTACATTTGTGCACCTAAATGAAGGGTCAGCTTTTTATTCCTGAAAATTCAATACCACTTGGCAAAGAAATGAAGAGGATTTTATTAATACCTTTGCCATTTCAAGTAATTTTGTTCAGCTGAAACTGAAACTCTTCTATTAAACAAATACCCACAAACACAAAAAAAAAAGAACAAAAGCTCCCACCCCCCCAAACAAAACCCAAAGCCCCAAGCCCCATGAAATAGCCTTATAAAAATTCAAACTGAAAAGTTCTAAATTTGGTGGGATTTTTTGTTTGTCTTTTACTCTTAATATAATGTTTTGATAATATTTAAACTACTTATGCTTCACTTTTGAAACACAATAAATATAATTTTGCCAATAATTAGATTCAACTTCTGCTAGAAAGCAAAAATCATTTCAGTGAAGTAACAAGTAACTCTTTCTTCATATATTTCCAACTGATGAGGTTGTAGCCTATTGCAGAATTTTTTTAAATTATGCTTCAGTGCATGACCTGGCACTTGTGTAGCTGAGTTTCATCTGACTACAATCACTCTGGCCCTCAAAGTCATCCCACTGCTTTTTTATTTGTATGATATTCAGAACCTCCTCCATAATGATGATTCATTCCACAGTGTGTCATCAGAAAAATTTTTTTGGCATGGTCCTCCTTTACTGTGCTAAGAACTGTGATGAAAATATTATGTAAGATTTATCTCAAGAATCATCTATTAGGAATTCTACTCATAACTTTCTTTTAGCCTGATTAAAATAATGGGAAATAGGAAAAGGATTTCATGTGCAAGCTGTATCCCAAAAATACAAGCTGTACTCAGCAGATACTTGTACAATTTGTTTTTAACATAGTTGATGAGATTCCATAATCTTCACAAATGCTCCATATCAGTAACTGAGTCTCCTACTCACTGAAGTACTTCTATCCCTAATGTCTTCCCTGAGTCACCTCCTCCCACATTTTCCTTGTTTTTCCTGTGCCAATTCAGCCTCAGAATTAGCTTAGTCCCTTTGTGAGTGATGCTTCTGCACACAAAGCCCAGTATCCTGTCCTGACACATTTGTTGTCCTGTTCCTTTGAGTTGTTTCCATCAGCAGTTGATGCTCTCATGCATTTAAAGTTCCACTACAGGCATTTGTTTGAAGATGAAGCACCATGCACTGAAGTTGATGTTCACTTGGCTCAGGAAGCAATCCCCTGAGCATGATCATCTTCCTGTTTCTGAAATTTAACTGAGGACAAAGTTTCCCTCAGTTTCAGGATCTCAGCAGTCTTTTGAAAGTTTCTTTTTAAGGAAGCCAGAGAACATTCCCTCTCGTAGACCTCTTTAAGTATTTTATCCCATATATCAAATTAACAGTTAATTTTCCCAACATTCTTTATGAGTGCTTTACTCCCTCTCCCATAGGTATTCAGAATATCCTGCAGGCTTCTGCCATGTAATTTGGCAGAAATTATATAGTATGTACATAGGAAAATGCATTCTGTGTACAAATTACCACAAAGTTAAATATTATCTTACCAAAAAGACAACAAGTTGCATTTGGAAACACCTATATGTAATGCTAATAAGAAACCCAATTCCATTTTATTCTAATTAAACTGGAAAACCTTCCTTTTTACAAGATGAGATAAACTTCAAGACATTTAGAATCTTAATGAACCCACAGGTATTTCTATTTTTATATCTCCTGGCATACAGTGTTTACCAAGAATTGTTGCTCATTTCAGTATTAGTCTGATTTTCTCAGTCTAGAGAAGTTCACCATTTTGAACCATTGCATCTCATTTCTTAAATACAAAGGGAAATTTATTTTCCCCAGTTTGGGTAGGAGATGGATTTCATAAATATTCACACTGTGCTGGCTAGAAAAGGTAGCAGCCCTAAGGCTCCATAGGAGGACACTGGACAGCTCAAAGAATTCACCATGGGCATAATGACAGAACAATGAGCTGTGTTAAGGGTCCTTTGTGTTTCACTGGCAACATAAAATTCTTACAGCAGGAGATATTATGACCTTTTAGTCAAGAGATCCAAGTTGAATCTTTTTTTTTTTTTTTTTTGGTTGTCACTAGCTTGTGCAGAGCCCAGATTGGCTCAGTCTAATGGTTATGAGGTTTCTGAATAGTGTCTGAAAATCAAAATGAAATCAGAATCCATTTTTCTGTCTAGTTGGTAGGAACAAGCTCTGAGACTTCAATCAACCTGAAGATGAGCTGCCCTTTAGTCTCCAGATGTCATGCCTTCAAAGGAGAGCTAAAATTCATTTATGGAAATACTTGGAGTCCTCCTCTCCACCTCTCAAATGAATAGTCATAAAGCTGTAGGGCTCTTAAAGCCAGATCTTCAGTAATAGCACAAAATGCTACCTTTTATACTGTGCTGTAGAATAGTGAGGTAGATTTTTCCACCCAGAGAACAACACTCTGTTAACATTTAAGTTAGTGAAGTGGAAATTTCTGTGACCTAATTTAAGAACCAGTCAAATGTCTCAGGTGAGAAAGTTTCACCAAAATGTAAATGCCACTGTATTTCTGCTTTGATTAAGAGTCCAGGTGAAGGGGTGGGGGGAATGGTTATGATACAGGGGAATTCAGTGATAAAGGGGAGACAAAGGAATCCAATATCCAGGCAATGGTACAGCTTAACTCCTGAGCAGGGGGGATCTGGAAGGCTCACTTTCAACTCGTGCATGTGACAGCCTTGCTTTGTGTTATCTGAGAGGGAACAGGAAAAGCTGAAATTAATGGTGAACCCAGAAGGATTTTGTGAAAGCCTGCAAGGTACCATTTATAGCCTGTGTGCCAGAACTGTGCTTCCCCTCCAGGCCATGATCAAAACACAGAGCAGTCTGTACAGTGTAAATGAGATTTGGCAATGTGAGTGAAGCTGCTCTCTCTTCTAAGAGACTCCTTCCCCTGCTCCCCTCCTGAACTGTGCTCATGCCCCTGTGCTCTTGTTCCTGCAGTCCAGCACATCATTCAACAGGGATGCTGTGAAAGCTGGGACAGGCCGGCGCTTTCTTGGCGGGCTCCTGAATGACACCTCCTACTGCTACACCCTGGAGGTCTCCTTCTACAGCTACATCTTGGGTGGAACTGCTGCTGCTGCTGTGCCCTACACTGAGGAAGCCTGTATCCTTTTGAAATCCATCCTCTTGCAGCACACGTGAACCAGGCACTTAAGGTAAACACTTCTGTCTCCATAAGAGTTTGCTGAGATAGAAACACACACAAGTGGAAATGTGAGTCTGCTCCTGATGCTTTAATTTCCCTCATATTGATTCTCCATACTGTGGAAATTCAAGAAGAGAAAGACATTAGATCAAATAAGCCATTTCCCTCTTGTAGGAGATTGTCTCACACACTTGTTATAGAAGCTAGTCCTGGAGAGTCTGTGATCCATTCCCTTCCACTGCCTTCCATTTCTTTCTTCATTTCTCTCCTTATTCCCTCATTAGCCCTGCGTTTGTGTTACTGTTTTAATAGCAAGTTGAGAGTACATCTTTGGTGAGTAAAATATCTTCTCTGCCTTTGAACTGCAGCCAAAAAGATCCATTAGGTTCTGCAGCTGCCTCGAGGACAAATCTTCAACGCCAGTTGACAAAGAAATGGAAGTCAAATTGTGAAAACAAAACCATCAAAGTTGTTGGCATTTTTGAGTGCTCAAATAGAAGCCGTGTCTCATTCCTCAAAAAACACATATCCATCTGGCTATCTCAATGTATCAGCAATTTGTAGAATTGTTCTGACTGGTCTTATGATCTGCTTTTATGTTTTTCTTTTTCTTTTTGTCACCATGCTCAATCAAACAGCCAGTGCCCATACTTCAACGCTGGGTACGTTATTTCATTTTGTCATTCTATCTTGGCAGCTTTTAAAATTTCCACAGGTTTAGAAACAGTGCAGAGGGAGAGAGATTAGCTGTGATTGCCTATTTACCTCTCTGCTGCATTTTGGAAGCTGGGGGAAGCAAGGGAGAAATTTTCATGAGAGACATAATTCTTCACCATCCATGTATATGGGCTCTCAGTGTGAGAATAAGAGCAAGAAACAGGGAGCAGGGAAAGGAATTGTCATTTAGGCTTTTCTGGTTTGACTTCTCCACTGAAAGTGAAATTTGGGGGAAGGAGGGAGATGAATATATTAAAGTGACTTACCAGGGTAGAGCATTTGGAATAGAAGCTCTTTTTTGTCCAGTAAAGTTAACTGATGGAAAAGCTCCTTGCAGCATACACAAATGTAGTATATCTTGCCACTGTGGAAAAAAATGTCCTTACTGTTAGGTTTAGGTATTTATTTTCTTAAGCTGATATTTTGGTGTTTCAAGAACCTGAGCCTTAGTTCTACCTTTGATTTTCTTCCTTACTTTGTGCTCATTGTGCTGAAAACTGCTTATTTCTCTTCCTTATTTATCAAGAACAGTTTTTACAGTGAGGAATGGAAAGAGCCCCTATACACATGAGATCATGATTCTCTTGGATATGTTTTCCTTCATGACTGGTAGATCAGACTGGGTTAGTTTCCTTTTCCTTAAAGATTTCTGGTTTGTGCTTCACATTGCAGAAGTTTTACCTGTGGGGTCCAACATCTCCATTTGCTTGGCTTGCCTTGCCTGCTGCAGGCAGAGATGCTCCATTCTCTGTTCATCCCATCAGCAGCTGGGGCACAGAAAACAGGCTCCAGATCTTGGAGCTGGCATAGGGAAAGCTCAAGCAGCAGCTTGGTTTCTGCAGTTAGGATTTTACCCAGCTGAGTGGAAAAGGAGAAGCAGGTTTTGGTTGGCCTGGCAGACAGCAAGCAGCAGAGGCTCTTTGCCTATGGAGTATGCTCCACTGGCATTTTGCCCTAGAAGGTTTTTATTATTTCCTTTTCAATGTAGGAATTCTATCCAGAGTACTGCCTGTGAGATCTTTTCCTCACGTGTGCAGTTTTCTAGTTAGTGAAAGAAATGGAGCTGCTTGAAATAGTCTCTAGACTGGTCTGATCCAACATAGGAGTAGCCACTGGATTTATGCACATCCTGTCCTGGCAGGGGAGGAAGTTTCACATCACTGAAGTGCCTATGACTGAAAGTAAAACAATTGCAGAACATTCCAATTTAGCCTGAACAGCCTTTCCAAGCTATTTGCAAGTCAGTGATTAATTAATGCTCGGATTTTTTAATGGACCTGAACCAAAGACACAGGCAGTCAGTTCATATTGGCCTCCAAGGACAGGGCTGTTTCTATTAACTATCTACTTACATGCAGACAGCAACTCAAGCAAATAAATGAAGAAAATAGAGCGAGCCCAAGAACTGTGAATTGATAGTGCAAGTATTCTGCAAATCTGCCTTTTTAAAGATGTATTTCTTAGAACTTTGTTCATCCCACTATTTGGTTGTGTGAGTCGTTTTTCCTTTTCCTTTTCCTTTCTTTCTATTTCTTTTTTTTTTTCTTTTTCTCCTTTTTCCCTTTCCCTTTCAATGGAAACAGGATCAGGGAGGGTAGGATTGTTCAAAGCTCCTACTGTTGGATTAAGAAGTGCAGACTGAGATTCAGCCTCAAATTCAGGTCACCCATGACCATAAAATGAGACTACAAAGTGGATCACACATCCAGAACTAGCTATACTGGCTCCTTTTAGAGAACAAAATCAATTAGGGTATCCAGATTCTGCAAAATAGTATTTTAACCTAATGTTGTTTGTGTTGACAGGTAGGAAAACTCTGAATAGACTTGTGTTTGCACTGGTGACAAGTAATGATACCTGTCAGCTCCTTTTCTTTACAGCATTTGTGGCAAATAAGATCACAGTACTACTCCCTTTCATGCCATTATATAAGTGGATCTGGTTTGTTGGTGGGTTTTTATCTCTTCATGTTCTCCAGGTTTTACATGCTAACTCTGTGATCCATACAAACCTCTGTGTGACAGTAATGGATATATTTTTACACTGGGTGAGATTATCCCTTTTTTTCAGATTTGTGTGACTGACTGAAACATACTTTGTAATTTTTGAGATAAGTGGATACCTTACATGCATGAAAATGGAAGACAGACTTTCAGTCTTTGAATTCTTCCCATTAACGTGGACAGTAACTTTTTACAGTAAGAAAAGTAAGAAAAAAGGATGGGAAGGTATCATTAGAAGTGGAAATCGGTTTCAAATTACTCCAGTTAGTGTGACTGAATGTTCTAAATGAATTGGTTCCGAATTTAGAGGATGATACCTGGATTGTTCTAAAAACAAATTGGCTGCTGAAGCTGCACTATTGAAATGAAATCCAGGAGGGAAGGGTCTTCCTTCAGCCTGTACAGGGGGAGTATGTTTGGGGCATATATGGTGGGATAACATCATGCAGAGTGTTGAGTTTCTGGCCTTTTCTAACACAGAGAATTAACATGATTGCATCCATGTCTCAGGCCTTGATTGGCACGATATCACTAATGGTTACTGCTGGAGCTGCTGTTGTATTTTCATCCAGCAAACAAAGCACTTAGACATTCCTGAAGAGCTGTGTGTGTGCCTGCTAGGTCTGTGTCTAACAGATACATACCTGGAGTGTGAGAAACATTAGGGATATGTTCTGTAAGCTCTGCAGAAAACCCTACGATAACACGTGCTGCAGATAACAGTGAATGGACTCTGTTTCAAAGGCACAATAAGAGGATTGTAGGCTTGTCTGTTACTCGCCTGGAAGTGGACAGAGAAATGTTTAAAACCCTTCTCACACATGCACACATTTGGTGGTAACTGATTAAAAAAGGCAGCACAACAACAGTTAGCTCAGCACCAGGTGAAGGAGCTTTAAAATGAGCTGATATGCTTCCATTAAATTCCATGTTTTACTAGGCATTTACAGGGCTTATGACATGAGGCTTGTAAACTGCTCTGTAGCACTCACCAGCAGCAGCTCAGCTGCTGAGCTGTCTCGATTCACAACAGCCTCAGAGCTGGGCAGGGAGCAAGGGATAACAGAGGGGGAGGCAGGATGAGCCCTGCTCTCACACTGCACCCACAACTGGTGTTTTCCTGTATCCCACTACAGCTGTGAGCAGCAGCCATCACAGCCTGACCTGAGAGCAGCCAGCAAAGGACTCTCACAGCAACAGAGCTTTAAAATCTATTTGGTTCATTTTTTAGTGTTTGAACTGGATCCTTGCTGCAAAGGAGGCAGCCCATAAGAGAGAATAAAAGGTTTTATTCTTTCACAGCCCAGCCATGAGGCAGGGAGGCAGAAATGATGGAGACCTGGCTGGAACTGGTATGACCATAGCTGTAGGGGAGAATAATCATTGAGATGGGTGGGCACCACAATTGTCAGCATGTCCATAGCTTCTTTTGTGTATTTTTATCTTAATTGCAAGCTTCCTCCAGGTGGAGAAGGACCCCATCCAGAGGCACGCTGCTGAACTCTCTCTTGTTTGTGGGCATAAAGAAGTATTTATATGGCTACAGCCACAGAATGAGGGCTTGGATTTACTAGAATCTCTTCAGATACCTAACAGGAGTTCACATCCTGGACTCTAAACACAGAGACCACTGGGTTCATTCTTATTCTTAAATTCAAGCAAAATATCTGCCTGCTGCTTGACTGGGGACTTGAGAAGTTAAATCCCTGGAGGGAACAGTCATTTGTTACATCCGGATTCCTTTTAAAGAGTACTTGGATCTCACTAAATGCCTGTCCTGGGGAAAAGGAATCTGTATGCAAACTACAATTCCAGTAAAAGCATCTATAACTTTTAGAGCTTCATGTACCTGCCAGTCCCCTAGGGCAAATGTACTTGGTTATTTTTGGCTTTTTTACATTTCTTTTTTTGGCAACTGCCTGTCCTGATCCTCCTATCTCTGTTAGTGATATCCTTAAGAGAAGATCCTCATGAGACAGATTATGGCCCTTGCAAGTTCATTCCCAGCCAGTAAAGGCAACATTACTAGCAAAAGCCAATGAGGTATGAAAAGCTGTGCTGATAAAGCTGAGGGAGCTCTGCAGAGGTTATCCAGTGTGGCTTAGGTTTGAACTTCAGTTAGAGGTTCTTGCCAAGATGATTTCAAAGTAAATCAGGCACATATTCAGGGAAAGGCATCCAGAGGTCTACTTCTTCTGCTAAGCTCCTGGGAACAGGAGCTTTCTGTGTGTTGCAAAA